GATGGATGGATGGATGGATGGATGGATGCAACGCCACAGCCTACCTGAGTATGTAGTAGTTATGTAAATGCAGTAGCAAATTTGACAGCAAAAACTTAACAAATTCTTTGGAATTCATGTGAGAATGAAGTGAGGAATTTCATTAATAACAAAAACAAGTAACTAATAGGGAAAAGTGGCACAAGCTGACATGGAATTARCTCAAGTTTAGTTTATTTTTATAATTTTTGTCCAAAAATACATGTATTATAAAAATACATTTATATACGATACATAAATAAAATATATTTAGTCCAGGATATGCGATTTTTTTCCCTTCTTCTCAGTGAGACTGTACATGTTTCACACCTCCTATAAGCAAATTCTTTGACCACAGAGTACTTTAAGATATTTTATCAAACTGTTCATGTTCATAGTGTTCCATCTCCTGTCACAGTGATCCACTTTATGTTTTGTACCATAGTTTAGGTTTATATGTCTCCATACAGCTGGCATACATCCTTGTTTTGAGTATGAGTGAGAGTAYATACATAAGATACTGGTCCAGTACCCAGTACTGGTATCAGTACATTGCTAATGAAAACTAAAAAGTCCAGTGATTCTAACTGGGGAGATTCTGCTCAGAAGTATGTTTTGTTGTTGTAGTTTGACTCATGTCAGAGGCAGAAATATTGAGTATCTCAGTGTTACATTGAGTTTTTACCCTTTTTCAGAATGTGCACATTATGAAAATGCAATACTAAATTACTGCAAAATCCCTTTAACTCCCCTTCCTGGTTTGAGAGTGTTTTAAAGATATTATAAGCAATATTTATCAATGAAGAAATCACTTGTTTATTTCTGTAGTGATTTCAGAAAAATTCATTTTGTTTGTGTGTTTTAACCTTGCATTTTTTTCCCTCCTAACTGAAAAGTACAAGACTGTCCTTGGGACTTCTTTTTGTTCCTCACTAGATGGCGCTGCAGCTCTGCTTTCCCGCGGCTATGGACTCTGAATTTGTGAACTGAGATTTTGTTTGGCAAAAACAAACACTCGAGCAATTTAATGACGAAATAATAGCATGTGAAATGTGCATTTTGACCTTTGCTCTCAAGCAGAGAGCAGAGGACCAGGAGAGAAAATGTTTCTTTCATCTCCAAACAACTTCACCCAGTTCAATTTAAAACAGCCAACAGATCTGAAAAACGCGTCACAATCTCACGTAGGAACTCTGGTGGTTCTGACTGATGTACATGTGGTGTGAAGTGGTTGTGTTCACTTGCCATGGTGTCTAGAAGGACATGAATATTTTAGCTTTTTTTTTGAAGGATAAAAAAGCTTGTGGTACTGAATATTTAAAGAGATACTTTTAAATTATCCCTTACTAAAGTTATTTCAACATATTAAAAATTTTATGCATAAATGGACATTCTCATGTTTTGAAATAAAGATTTCTATATTAATGTGCTCCCATTATGTCATTTTTCCAGTTAGACTCTTTTCAGTGTCGCTTATAATTTAATGCAATGCATTTAATAATTAAAAAATATCCGACAAAAGG